GAATCCAAACTTACACAAGTATCGATAAGGCACTGAAATGAGGGGAAATGTCTGTTGATGTGTAACAGCTGAAAAGAGTTGAAGTGTCATTTAAAGTAATAGTTCTGAGAGGATATGAAATGTCAGTCTAAGCACTAAAAGGAGTAGAGACGTCAAGCGTCACCTGAAGTATAAGCAGTGAAAGTTGGTGTTGGTGTCAGCTGAAGTAAATATTTAAGTGTCTGGGCTGAAAGCAATTGGTGCATTCTTTGAAGTTTCATCCCTAAAAGCAGTTTGAGTCGGTCATTCTACCAGTTAATTAAGTGATCGATCAACCAATTTATCAGAAACATCAGAAAAAGAGAAGCATCTTTTACACATGTTGACTCACCAGGAAACAATAATTGTAGTTTTGATATTCATGTAAAATCAATATTTCATAAAGTACTTTTGCAACATTGCAAAGCAAACAAACCTTTTATAATTCAAAAATCTTATTCGGAAGGGATTTCTCTTTTCCACATTTTCCAAAACGTTTTCAGATCGGCTCAGAGACGAGCAGCTGCTGATCTGGGGTGACTGAGCCGGTGGCCACAATAGCCCTCCAAGCCCAAACATCCTCCAGCTGTTTTCACAAAAACTCAGTTGGGCACCGGCTGCACTGAGATCTCCTGCCGATGAATCCACAACACCAAAGAGGGAATCAACCGGCCTTTGTGAGCAGCCCAAAAAGACAACCCAAATGTCCCAGTTTTACCAAGTTTAGAAATTCACACTGCTTCACCTGTGGGACGAAGGAGAGAAATTTCAACTCCTCAGAACTGATGGAAGTTTAGTCACATATGGGTTTTAATGACTTTGCTTCGAGACAGGTGATTAAAAAACATCTGGGTTATGGTAAGACCACTTCCTCTGTTGTGGTTTCATGAGCTATGCAGCAGTCTGTGATCAATAATTTCCTGATTAATGAACATCAGTTTTCTTCCATGCACAGTTTCAAACACATGCCGCCGCAGCCCGCCATATGGTTACGTCAAGTGCATTAATAGGAATCTAATTCTAATTGCGATTTTTCTGCCAGATATTGCAATTTCGATTCGATTTGTGATTTTTATTTTATTTTTGAGTTTAAGATTCACTGCCAGTGTATTTTTGACGGAAGCCACGTCAAACAGCACAGAGCAGATGAACCAGGCAGGAAGTCAGACACAGAACAGCAGAGAGAAAGTTGATTTTCAAAATAAAATACCCTGTGCAAACTCCCAATTGTATATCAAGAATAAACACAGTTAAAACAGACAAAAAGAGAAACAATTTAACTAGATAGCCTACTTAGCCATAGTAGAAGCACAAAAATCAAGGACAGCTGAAAAAAATTAACAAAATCTGAGTCAGTAAAATCAGGCAGGCAAAACGCTCTTATTCTGAAATGCTCCATGTGGAATATGTAGCATATGGAGAGTTGAACAAAACCGGTTCAGAGAGAGCTGTTATCTGTAGTTGAAGCACACAAAAGGACAAATTAACAACATGTCAACAACGTAGGGCTAAACGCTCCGCTGCTGAAACACTTCAGTGTGGGTTGACGCCGGACAAAACCTCCGCACAGCCGCTGCCTGTGTCGGTTCGGCATCATTCCACGTTTTCCTCCAGTTTCGTTTATTAAATATATATTTAAATAGCAATTTTGATTTGAAAATGATTAATCGTTCAGCCCTAGTCCAAACTGTGTCAAAACTGTCTCTGCTCATCCATTGATCGCCACCATTGACTGTGTGATCTACATGCACTACAGACAGCAACAGCAAGAGGTGAAGATTAAATGTTTGCCTTGTGTGTATAGGCACAAGTGAAATAGTTAAAACTACAGTGAAAAGCAAAACAAACTAGTAAATATTGACTGAAGTTGGGCTAACATTGTATTGAAGTACAAATGTTGTTAAGGGAAACAGGCAATGCTGAGGGATTGTGGGGCAGCGTGTGCACAAGTCCCGTTTGTATGAAGGCCTAATTGGTGCAAAACAACTGAGCACCTGTGACTGTGTAATTTTTAGTTGTAGAAAATAGTCACACATAATAAAAGGAAAATACTTTGATTTGCAAACTTGTGGAATTGTTTTACTCTACAACAAACACAACAGCTGCACCTTCACACATTCTTCATTGCATGTGCACAAATTCTATACGAATCGCAATTTAAGGAGAAGAAGAAGAAGTCAGTGTTGGTTTGAGTCTGCACACGTTGACAAGAAGAAAAATGTAGAATATCACCAGTTATCCTTTAACTAGCCTGAGACGGAGAAAGAGGCAAAGGAGGGAGATAAACAGAACACCAGAGAAAAAGAGTAATGAATGGGTTGTTAGCGGGTATTTTGTAAATGTTTTGGAGGTATGAGAGGCTCTTAGCGGGCGCAGATGGACCGAGTGTTTGTTTAGTTGGCCAGCAGGCTTGGCAAGGAATGATGGGTAGTTTGGGATATCGTTTTTGCTGTCTTTCTCTCTTTTTCTCTCCACGACACTCTCTCTCTCTCTCTGCATGTATTTCTAAATCTCTCTCGCCTTTTCGTTTTCTTTCACACACGCCACTCGCCCTGCGCTGTGGTCCTCCAGTAGAATACGGCTCTGATTAGACATTCTGCTGCAGGAAATTACCTCCATTTATTCAAATTATTGTTTATGCCTTTTGTTTGGAGGTCCAACATACGTTTGGAAGTCTGAACAAGCTCCCGAACTGTTATTATATGCTTCAGAAAATGACTTGTGTGTGTGTTTGTGTGTTACTATGAGTGTGTGTGTGTGTGTGCAGGGATTCCTAGGTAGTCCTTGTCTGAATATAAATGCGTGTGTTTATGTGTGTGTTCTCTGTGGTGGAATTAGCAGCGTTAAGGAGCGTTTGCTGCTGGCTTGTTAACCCACAACTAGAAAACAAACACTGCAGGTGGAGAAACTGTAAACCAGCCGTGGAGGAACAGTCGGATGTGGTGTGCTAGGCGATACTCTAAATATATCTCGATATTTCGATATAGCTCCTCTAAAGCACTTCCAAAAATGCACTCCCGACTGTGAAGAGCTAGTTAGTTTGCAGCTACAAGTCCGGCTAAAGCCAATTAAAAAACCTGGAGGAATCCCAAATACGTTTTGGCTAGAAGGCGCGTAGAGTAGTTAGATCAGATCAGATGATTGATCGAGTTTTTCTCTTGGGATCTTTTGCCTCTACAGTGAAAAAGTCACAGTGACCTTTAGCTGCTCACTTCAATTTCACCATTTTGCTTCGCAGATCCGTTCTTGACGTCAAGAATGGAGGCAAATTCAAACACTGTGCTTGCACACACATTTACTGAATGAATGAGCAGGAGAAAAAAAGAGAGGATGGTTTGGTGTAGTATAGTTTGGGGGTCTTTAGAAAAACCGGGGACAAATATTTAGGTTTTGTATAATATGGGACCTATAATCCTTTGTTTAATCATTCCTTTAAAACCCTGATTGGTCAATTGTTTCTCCAACTGTGGGAATAAGGGGAAACAGCCGTCAATGAGTACAACACGTCTGAAGAAATCAGAGATCAGGGCTGTGATTCAGAAATCTGGAACTATGTTAAAACTGCTGCTGCTAATTGCTTTTGCAGAGTCTTTGTAAGCATGGTGTAGGTTGGCTAACTTATAAGCTTAAAATAAGTCGGTCTTTACACTTTTTCCACCTTCACGTCAACGGGACGGATAGTACATTGTTTCTATGTTTATGACTTCACATCATGGCACACCTCAAGACGACTGCAGAGCTGGTTCAACATATGCAGTGACATAAAATCACTATATCTTTTAAATTTGGGTTTAATTCAGCCTATCCTCACCTCGATTGTTGAAGGGCTTAAAACGACAAAATGTTACAGTGTGAGCGATCTCTTGCAGCCGTGTGACAAAGTGCATGTGAAATTTCAGGGAAAACACCAGGTATATGAAATAAATAACCAGTTTTGGAGGTGGTGGGTAAGGTGGAGGGTTAGATGATTGGGCAACCTGCACCCAGAAGACCGGAGTTTGGTTCCCGTGTGAAACAAAAAGCCAACATCAGTTTGTTGTACCATTTTTTGTAGTATTGTTAGCATTAGCCAGCTAGCAGGCATTAGTAATAATTTTGGTGTTTTTTGTTTGTTTTGTAGTGGTTTTTTTTTGCATTTTTGCACAAAAGGTAGGTAGCGTTTTGTAGCATTTCTTGTAGCCTTCAGCTAGCTAGCATTAGTGTTAGCAGGGTTTTGTAGCATTAGCTACCGTTAGTGCTAGCGTTAGCTAACAAAGGCGTTGACAGCCCCCCAAAGCCCCTTACCCTAACCCTAGCCATCACAGGGTTGTGTGCCTAAAATGTGATCGTATGCTTGTCGACCGGTTCACCCTACAGATGTGTTATAATGGGGAGCAGAAAACACTCTAGCCCATATGTGGTTTTGGGATTCATTAAAAACACTCATATGCGTCGTTTTGGAGACATCAATTATTGACAGATTCTGTTGTTTATGTATGAAGACGTGTTGGTTTCATTACCCTGATGTACTTTGGTTGACTTGAGTCAGATATTATTTATTTATTAAATTGTTTTCATTTGCACAGTATTGCATTTTGGTTTCTTCATAACAAGAACTAATGAAAACAATAAATCATAGCGGAGCAGTGAAATCCTTAATCGCTGTGTATGAAGATTAAAAAACAGGTGGAAACAGAGTTTGTCAACTTTGTCCCTGGTTAAAATCACAGCCAATAAAACCTGTCTGGATGAGTGTTTCTGGGATTATCAGGATGTTTTTTTTACAGGTCATTTATGACCAATTAGCTGGCTTGGCTGGAGGCACCTGTTAAGCCGTACAAAGTCAATTTCCTGTTTGTTTCCTCCACACTTCGAGCTGTCGCTGGGACTGGCAGAGAGCTGTTAACAAAAGTGTTTTTAAGTGTCAGCATCCTGACAGAGGAGGAGGGATGAGAAAAGGTAGAGAGAATAAAGGAGGTGGAATAGAGGGAAGATGTGAGAGGGATTGAAGGATTAATGAAAGATGGTGGGGGCACTGTAAACAAGGTGGAATATAATCAGGAGGGAGAGAAAGAGGAGGAGGATAAGGAGAAAGAGGAGTGAAGTAGGAAGATGAGAAAAGGTGGGAGGAAGACAAACAAAAAAAAGTTTAGAAAGAAGACAGTGAGTAAAGATGAGTACTCAGTACTCCTTCAGCACCATTCAGCGCTACTTTCAGGGTTCATTTCATTACTTGTTTTTTGATTTTCTTCCATTTCTTTTAGAGCTTAAATTACATCATGTCAATTTCAGCCAACACCTGAACTCATTACAGTCCCTGATTTTTAATGACTCTTCAAATCCTTGTAGCACGTTCACTTCTGTAACTGCTTATTGAAACTGAATCCACTTAAATTTATTTCTGTTTCAACTGCTGCTCAGAGCTTGAAATTTAGTGCTGTATTTGAGGTTATTCTTAAACTTCTTTCAGTGCTTATGCTTTAACTGGCACAAAAGCACCTATAAGAAACTCCAAAGGCTGAACGTTTTACAACAGTCAGGCTCTTTTAGAATTAGAATTACAGCCCCACAATCATTTGCCTGCCAACCAGTCAAGTTGCAATCTACATCCATGTCCATCCAGACCCACAATATGTAATATACAGTGTGTAGTGAATACTTGGAAGGAATTGAATAAAATATATAAAGTGTATTTTTTTTGTCTGCACACTAAAGCATAATTGGGCTGGTTTTGGGTCAGCTTCCCAATCCGAGGCTGGCAGGAACCAAATATTGGCCCAAATGATCCTGTAGTGTAAGGGGTTAACAGGCATAATCTTAAAGTCGCTGACTGGATCGGAGGCTTACCTATTTTGAATTGTAAATGTCAAACATGTTTTATATTAGAAATCGTAAAAAACCTCAGATCATAATCCCACTACAGCCAATGAGAGCGAACTGACTGGGAAGTGTCACGTGTTGTGTATTTGCTCGCACTATAAAGGGTTTAAACCATCCTGATACACTCTTCTTCAGCCTTGAGTTCATCCACGGTTTTCTTTTCTTTTTCCCGGTTTCCGTGCAACCAGCTGATGACGACACTCTATCTCCATGTTTGTTTTTGTCATCACGTGAGATTTTGTGAGATCCCAAGTCCCTGGAACCACCACTCCGAAATTGTTTAGTATAAACCAGTCACTCCAAGATTTTGCGATGTCGCAGTCGCAACTATTAACACAAGTTCAACACATCTCAATAAAGCAAATTTGACCTATCGTCACTGTTTCCCGCAGACGTTGTCATATGTCAGCAAACTCACTTCCTTGTTTTGTTTAGAAAACGCAGCAGACATGTGTGATACCAACCAACAGTGTCTAGATCTTTACGAAAGTTGGGGTAAACTGTTGCGCAAAACGTGCAATATTGTGGTCGAACATTAAAGGAATCGTGCTTTTTACCAGCAGTTTTACCTTTACACAGTAACAATAAAACATTTCTTGTATATCTCAACTTAAACATTATTGTAATCAGATCAAATATAAAACCAAAGCTATTTGCCACTGCCAGGGAATTACCTTTTTGTGCTATTACCAGAGCCACGATCATAACAGGCACCTGCATAATAACTATTATGATAATGATAATTACTATTTCTACAGCATTTTTAAAAACAAAGTTACAGAGTTTTATGTGGTTGAACCAAGATTAAAATATTTCAGGAGGCAATGAGGTAAATCATATCAGACAATCAAGCCAATACAAAAATTACAACAATAATATCAGATGAAAACAAATATAATAAAAAGTCATAAAACAGATAAGACATGTCGGAAAATAAAACCGCATGCTAGCATTAATAAAAATAGACATTTAGAAAGAATGGCAAAAAGTTGCACATGCAGAGTGTAGAAACACATTCATTAAAATAAACACACAGCTACAGACAGGTATTGTGCGAATGTATACACACACACACACACTGCACTGGGTGGTGACAAAGAGGCAGGAAATTGGGAAGCAGCAGCTGTGAGGCCGTTAGCGTAACGCGGCGTGAACACCTGAGTCCTGAGCTGGACGGCAGCCAGACAGACAAGTCTGACACCAAACTGAGATGGAAGATCTTTATTAAACACATCTGGATTCTTTTAGGTGTTTATCAGGCTGCTCGATATGTTTACAAAACCTATCCACTAAACCAAGTAACCAGTGAGTCAATATCTGCAGGAGGTTTTCTTTACTTTGATGTCTTTATTTATATAGATTTATCTTCCAAATAAAACTATCCAGAATCCTCTTGTGATTTAAACTGATCGTTGGTTTTGGTAATAGTAGTAATACCAAAGTGTGGAAATATACTGACCTTTTCAGTACAAAAGGTAAAAATACTATTTTTTCAGAATGGCCCATTTCAGAATAGTAGATATGGCTTTACAGATTATAATTTTTGATGCATTAATATGGTCATCACTTAAATGATGCATCTGGTAAAGGTGGAGATCATTTGAATTGCATACAGTGCCATTACCATTTGATTTCAATACATATATACATATGCACTAAACAAAATTATAAACGCAACACTTTTGTTTAGGCTCCTATTCATTGTGAGCTGAACTCAAAGATCTAAGACTTTCTCTATGTACACAAAAGGCCCATTTCTCTCAAATATTGTACAGAAATCTGTCAAAATCTGTGTTAGTGAGCATTTCTCCTTTGCCGAGATGATCCATACACCTCACAGGTGTGGCGTATCGAGATGCTGATGTCCCTTCTCTTAATTTAGAGATATATATTTGGCAGAGTCACTACATGTTTTTGCCAGACGTGTCCTCTATAGTTTCCTTCTTCACCGCCTGAAGATTTGAGGCTGCAGAATCACTGACATCTTTAAAAGCTTTTGGCATATTTGTTAAAACTGTCACTGTATCCTGACAGACGTACATGAGACAGACAGAACGTTACACCAATAAAAGTAGCTGATTAGCTGTTAGCAGCTCCTGTTTGCAGTGTACCCATGGATGTACAGATAATTGTCAATGGATTACTTTGATACTGAAGATTCTCAGGTTCTGAAGCGTCTTTTTTCTGTGACTTGGATTTATGGATGTTTATTCTGGACGGCCATCAGAGATAATAATATCCTCGGGAAGCGTGTGATTCAATATGTGTTACATGTCTGTGTGTACACATTTGACTTGAGTTATGTCTCCGAGAAGGAGTGTGATGTTTGTATTAAATTCACCTGACACACTTTCTGTGCCTTCCCGTTAACTGTCCCGTGCTTTCTCTTTTGGCTTTGACCTGCTGAATGGCTATTATAAACCATATCGTGTCATTTCTAACTGGTTGAAATGGCGTCCAGAACGATGAGGAAAGATACCGAGGAGAACAGAGAATACTTTAATCCCCATCTCCTAATTCAGCTGTGACGCCACCATCCATACTCTTTTACCTGACAGCACGGCCTCCACCAGGTCGCCCTCCTGGATCTGAGAGGCAGAGCGCAGCAGCTGCAGCACGTTCTCTGATGTCTGGTCATGACGAAACAGCAGGATCTTCTCATACATCCCATAGAAAACACACTCGGGTATCTGACGGAAACAGAGAACAGAGCACTGAACAGGCAGTAGGCTACACATCGGCTTATTATTCAGATATGTTGATGGCCAGAGACTGAGAGACACATGAACTATATTCAGACTGTGTCACTTCTACCAACAACTACAGGCAGAGACAACACTTCCTGCTGCAGCCACAAAAACACTTTCCTCTCCCATTGATCACCTCACAACAGTAGCTCATGACCCATCATATCTCCAGATGGGGAAGGGTCTGAAATTAACACCCGCCACCCAGCAAATGCGGGTAAATTGTTGGCAGTGAAATCGTTGGGCCATTCGCCACTTTGGCGAAGGACACATGTAAGGTTAGTGTATTGTGGTGAATAGACAAACATATTTATTTATATTTATATTATTTCATAGATTTGAGAAAATGTGAGCAGTTCCTTTATTTATGTTCATGCCAATAAAGCAAATTCAAATCTGAGAGAGAGAGAGAAGAGCGATAGAGAGCAAGACACACAAAATCAAGGAGCTTTGATCTTCATCAGCAGATGAATAAATAATTCAAATTATCATCAGGAGGTGATGGACAGAATAATCTAAGAGACTACATTAATGCAAAAACACTAATGTAGTAAATTTATAGAGTTGTACTAAACCATCATGCGTGATGAACTTCGGGTTATTAACTGACAACTTCAGACTACATTAATCCAATCAAATTGATCAAATAATACTAATAATAATAATAATAACAGCAGCCTGGTAGTATTATTACATTATCTAACAATTAATTCATTATAATTAATATTCACATGATTACTTATGTTTTGGACATAAATTGTTAAAATTAGTCATCATCACACAAATATATGACTAAAAATGTCACTTCTGAAGTGAGGAATCACACATATTCTGGCAAAACTATGACTGTTTTGGACACGCTGATCACACAGATGTGTAGTACACAAGATGATTATACTGCTAAGATGTTTCAGTGGAGTTTTGATTATTTTTTTCTGCTGTAAAAATGTGTCCAAATCCATTATGACCATTGGACCAAATCACTTTAAAAACTCATCTAATTCTCTCGTTCTCATTCCCAGGGCATCAAATAGCTACGCTTTGTCACGTCCTTCGGCGTCTGGTACCAACACACACGGCAGCCTTCAGCATCCTTGTTCAACGCTAAAAGTAGGCCTAGCATAAATAACAGAAAAGCGAGGATAATGAGGTGGTCGGGGTGGATGGGTGGGTCAGGTCTAAGTAATGTAGCTATTTTAACCAAAACCACAATGTCTTCTAGCTTCTAACCAAGTTGTTTTGTTGCTTAAACCAAACCAAATTGTGACGTTTCACAACTTTAACCACTAGTTCGGGGATGGGAACGGGTTGCTAATGATGGCTGCACACTAGAAGATAATGGGCCAATTTGGGGTCCCATTCTCCCCGACAATCGTTCCCGAGCCAAGGCTGGTCGGAACAGTTATTGGCCCAAATGATCCTGTAGTGTGAGGGGTTTACAGACCTAATCTGAAGGTCACTGACTGGATCAGAGGCACCCCAATTTTTCGATATGTAAACAGTTATTATTTTAAATCAACAAGCCGATGACGACAGTCACATGAGATCCCTCGTACTCGGAAAGTCATTCGGAAATCGTTTAATGTAAATGCCAAGTGTGTGGTCCGTCGTCTGGGCTGAATTGTCTGGTGTGTACGTTGTTAAGATTAAAACATTAAAAATATTATAAATCTGTCGTTATGTCTGTGGTATCCCACTTTTTAAAAATCAGTTAAGATATGAAAAGCCTCTAGTGTGCACCAGGCATAAGTCCATTATTTATAGTTTAATTGCTCGAATGAGTCCTCACAAAGACAGAAATATAAGAGCGCGCACACACACACACACACACACACACACACACACACTGTGTGACACCAGAGTAAGTTAAAGGTGCAGCAGTTCGCTGTTATGTTTAAGATCTATGAGGCGTCGGTGAAACGAGCAACACATCGACCAACGACAGAGCACTTCTGAGACTCCTATCCAAAACACACACAAAACACACTCACACCTACAGAAACACACAAACACTAACATGAAGAATATCCTGGAAAAAAAATGCCTTGTTACAATGAACTGGTGATCAATATTACAACAACCATTACTTTTAATAATAATTATACTGTCTATGCTTTAAGTGTTTGGAAACCACATATAGTATGCAACAAAATAAAATATTTTGAAAAATATGCTACAGGTTCCCAGCCTCCGGGCCGTGGACCAGTGCCGAGCCTCAGAACATTTGCTAACAGGCCGCGAGGAATATTACTTACTAGCCAAAAAAAGAGTTGAATAATAATAATGCAACTTAAAGGGCAATTTTTGCAGTAATTATCCTCCAACTACAGTTTGTTTTTGATAATGTTTTCCTCATCACTCCCTGTCACTTTCCAAACAACAATATACTCAGTGGTGGAAAGTAACAAAGTACATTTGCTGAAGTACTGTCCTTAAGTTAGTTAGTACTAGTACTGTATTTTAGTGTGTAAAGTTATACTTCTATTCCTCTACATTACAGACTGAAATGTTGTATTTTACTACTCCACTACATTCATTAGGTACCTGTAGTTACTTTGCAGATTAGGATTTTAAAAACCTACAATGAGCATATAAAACACCCAAATAAAAATGACCCAGCTACAATATTAAAGTGCATCTCACATGTTACTGCATAAATAACAATACACATATTTTATATTACATAAAAATTTTATACTAAGGAGCCCAGTTTGGCTGCATAGTAAGTACATTTAACTTTTATACTTAAGGTAAATTTACATGGCTTTACTTATGTACTTTAATTATGTAAGACATGTTAATCTACCACTAAATTATACTGATATTTAATTAAAGGAGTCATCTAACTGTGAGCGGTGGAAGCCCCTGTGTTCATCTGCCTTATTTCTACAGGAATGTAAAAATATGGAGATGAACAAAAGTTGTTGGAGGAGAAGAATAAGAGGTGGAGGTGAGAGAGGAAATTGAGACAAAAAGAATAGTAGAATAGAGGAAGAGAAAGAAAATAGACTTTTAAGGAAGACAAGACTGAAACAATGATTTGGAAGAAGAGAAGGGAGAGAGGAAAGAAGATGATCAGGAGAGAAAGGGATGAAGCAGAAAATGCTGTCGAACATGATGAAGAGGAGGAGAGTGTTCTCACTCATTAGGCCTTCACCCCTCTCTCTCTCTCTCTCTCTCTCTCTCATAGTCTGAGTGGTAGTCTCTCGCCCTTCTTCCTCTTTAGTGCCTCATAACTCCCTCTGCTTCTCAATAAGATCCTCAACAATACACTTCATAGATACATCCCTATGTGTGTGTGGTGTCACCATAGCAGCAGTGCTAGTCTTGTTGTCATGGCAGCATGAACTCAAGGCTGATTCCTCTCCTCCGTCTCTTTCCGATCCATTCAGTTCAATTCAGTGCTTTCTGTACAGAACGTACTATGCCATATATTAAACTGCAGCTCACTGACAGCCCTGCAAGGCATTGTGGGCAGTGAAGTCTTGGTGCAGTAGTTTTCACCACAATTAACGCTCATCAGACTGGTTTCGCTAGATCTGGACATGTTGACTTGTTGCTTAGCAAATATTTCTAAAACAGCACAAAGTTTCTGATCAAAGTTTGAACTGACTGATGTATTGATAAATCTGATAAATTAATAAATACATCTCCTTGGGTTTACTTTATTTGACAAATGACGACAGCTACTAGCTTGATATCAGTATTTTAACCTTTGGATTTGTATAATTTAAACTTTGTTTCCCCATGCTTCCAGTCTTTATGCTAAGCTAGGCTAACCACGTCCTGTTTCCAGCTACTTGCAAGGGATATATGTCCTCTCGCCCAAAATGTCCGGGATTTGGCTTTTGCTTTCTACAGTCGGCATTCATTGTGTGCTTTTTTGCATTGCTTTGACTTTTCTTCTTAGGTCCCGCCTTCTGGCATGCCACCATTAGTCGGTCATGGAGGCCTACACGTCCTTCACGCCAACATTGGTCAAACTGCATCTCAATCATCCCCCTCAGCAAGAGACAGGACAGCAGCTTGCTTGTCAACAGTGGCACATGGCGCCTGAAACAGTGAAAAAAATGCCCAAATGGTACTCTGCCCTCTCCACCAGTGGGAGAAAGTAGTAAGATCGGGTGCTTTTTTTTTTTACCCCAAGCATGTGCATTAAGGGCGTACTCACAATAGGCCCGGTTGCCTTGTCCCCCCTCCCCACTCCCTCAGTCAGTGTTTCCATACATTAATTTGGCTGTGGTAGCCCGCCATAGTATCAATACCGAATGCCACATTTTGATATGTGATGTTTTTTTTACTAGGCATATTTATAATTATAGTTGATTGCCCTAAATTTCTACCCACTGCGGGTGTCTGTCTGCCTCCTGCCCCCACAGTCTTCTTTTTTGAAAACCAAAATATGGTCACCCTATCTGTCCTGAACACTGACACATGAAATTGATATCCATCTGGACATCTAACTCAGACAGGAAGAGAATAAACGCTGCTTTAAAATAAAGCCCTTCACAGGCGGCATATTTCGTTTCTAAACCAAGCCCAACCCAAACCCGACGCATTTTATGTAAGAGTTTGTGTTACCCTGTCACGCAATTGTTTTGTACAGTATGTGGGTTGCGTTCAGGTGTTGCTGCCAAGTAGCTTAAGTGCATAAAATCACAAAACCCATCACTGAATAACAGGATTGTAGCGCAACACAGTGAACACAGACAAGTGGTTCATAATTTATACCCGAAAAAACCCGAAACTGAACATAATTTCTAAACTTTTGTCCGAACCCAGCCTGACTGGTCGGGTTCCGACATTTCTGTCAGGGTCTGGTTGGGTAGCGACCCTCTGTTTCAACTATTCCTTTAACCTGGTGAGATTTTACACAACCGATTGAAATGACACCAAAAGTACAAAAATTAGTGTGAGGTGTCTTTAATGCAGCCAACAGGGCT